ATAGACAGATAGACGGACAGATAGGCAGATAGACAGATAAGATAGATAGACAGATAGATAAATAGATAAAACAGAAAGATAAATAGATAGTCAGATAGATAGCCAGATAGACAGCTGACACTCCAGCCACCTTTCGATCCATCAGTGGGTTCGCTTTGCCATGCATGATTCACAACAACCTAACCTCTCCTATAGTTTCCTACCTTTGAAACTTCTGCCACGGCCTTGTGCCGTACTACCGTACTGTTGCTAATACTAGCGCCAATACTCCCTAGGCGGATTGCTTTTGCTTCTGTTTGAGGGGCCTGATGCAGGGGAGCTTCCAATGAGCTTGACGCCTTTTGAGAAAGCGCCTTACTCAACCTCACAGTGCATTGGTTGTCGGAACGGCCCAGTTTGCAGACTTCGAATTGAAGTGACCTTGTCTCAGGGGTGCAGCTGCGTGTGAAGCAGCGGCGATCTGAGTGCCAAGCTTTGGAGAGCTTCGCGGCCATGGTCGTTTGCTGACGCGGGCAGTTGCAGAAACCTGCGCAAAGCAGAATGAGAGGCTTGAGACAAGATCCAAGGGGCCATTTGTGCCCCACGGGTTCTCTTCTGTGTTCGTGTAGGAAAACTTTGCTGGTATTGTTGCTTGGTACAGACTTGCAAATCTGAGTCCAATGCCAGACCGTGAGCATCCCAATGGCACAGTCTTGATGTTTTCAGAAAAATATTGTTGAAAGCAATCGAAACAATCTTTGCTCACGATTTGTGGGGTGTCTCGCGAGAAGGATCAGTTCATGCTCACACACCCATACTGTTGTAGAAGGCAACTCAGTCAGCCAGATGTTTGCTTGTGTCCCCACACGCCTGATTGCATTTTGAGCCGTCGGCGTTTGTCATGATGATCAACATTCACTAGTGAAGAGGGAAAAGCAACATGTTCATTCCTTGAGGGACAGCAAACGGGCCATTACATATCTGAATCTGATGGGGTCCCTTCCACAGCACTGAGAACGCATGCTTGGGTTTACGTTCTCATCTTTGGGGCTTCTGTTGCGCTACAAAAATGGAAAGCGAGTGTTCGTGTTGCAGTTGATTTGATACGGGTAAAGCCCCTTCGCTTGCATGACTTTGTACAGACAGTTCTGGAATGCACCTTGCTTGGTCAGACTTTGCGGTTCACTGCTTCTGGGCACCAACCGTAGCGCGTCCGAAAGGCGCGTTGATTTTCTCGCCCGAGCCGCAGTTTGCAGATCTTGGCCAAGCCATGATGCCTTCTTCTCACCCTTCCCCTTGAATGAGGGGAGCGGCGTGGGGGAAACTTCCGAGCCCAGAGGATTGCACCTGAGCCACGGCGTCTCCAGCTTGAACTGCGCTGAGGATCCCGACCAACTGGATCCAGTCTGATGAGAGAGTCTGATGTGAAGAGAGCGACAGTTCAAGCAAAGAGACTCATTGTTCAGTGCAGCTTCTGTTTCGGCACGATGGACAGCTGCATCTTGAGTCTTAGCAGGGCCCCTCCATGCAGAGCTGAGGAGGCAACGAAGCGCGAAGACTCCACCCTCGCCTGTGACGAATGAACCCGATGATAAAACATGATAAAGCATGATAAAATGAATTGCAAGTTGCAAGGGAGGAGTTTGGGGAATCCCTGCGATATCAGCACTGGGAATCTTGGAGACATTGATTTTGTACAGGTTAACACACAGCCCAGTTGCTGGGGAAACCGGATCTTAGATCACATACATAAAGACCAAGGCAGCGATGACCAAAAGATGCTGTGCATCCCGTGGACAATCGAATCTGTTTGTGTTCAAAGCATGGTCACTGGCTATTTTGACAGAGACAGAGCCGTTTCCGGTCCAACATCAAGAGACTTTAGTCGTCATGACTGATTTTAGTCTTGCACGCAGAATGGCCAACAGGCATGATGATTGGTCTGGGCCATGCATTACTCGCCGTAGTCCTCAACTTCATTTGGCCTGAAGCTCTGTTATATAAATCCAGGTACCTTCGGTAACAACTGCATCATTGACAGCAAAGAACGATCGAACTCAGTTGCAGAGTAGTTATTTACAACGTTTACCCTCCTGGTTTTGTCAGCACAATGTCATTCAGAGCTTCCAGACAAAAGTGATTCAACATACTGCAAGCACTCTGTGAGGTTGGATGCACGCTGGGGAGTCACAACTTTGGTTTTAGCACTCTTTCATCAGTAGCACTCCCAGTACCAAACTGGCTTTTATGCGCGAGTGAAATCGTTTGAATATCATGCGACAGTTGAAGCAGATGGTCTGGGAAGTCTGGGAAGGACTCCAGCAAAACTGTGTGTACTTCTGGTTCTGGTTCGCTGGCTTGGCTATTCTAAGGCTGGGCCTCAGCAGGCACAATCCACGAGGCACAGTCGTACAAAACAGGAATCAAACGAGCAAAATCAAACGAGCAAAACCCAGCAGATCACTTTTTCAAAAGCCACGTGCTGAACTCATCGCCTGAGTTCCTGCCGACCTCTTGGCAGGCTTCAATGTAGCACGCTTCACGGCCTTGCTTCTGAATGGAGTTCTAGTCGTAGTTGTCGGAATCCTGGGATTTGAGACTGGCTTGATGTGCCAATTTTTCAAACTCGGTGTCATTCTGCGTTTTCTCCCAACACTACGAGATTTCGTAAGCACTGTCTCAGGTCGGAGTCGTTGTACTGACCCTCGACATCCTTGCATGCTTGGATTCGAGCTACGTGTGGCTTCAAGTCTCAGATGCTGTGACCAGCCAAATTTGATCCTTTTCTGTTGTCTCACAACTTTGTCTAGTCCGATTCAACACAGTGATGGCTGTCCTAGATTTTAGAAGGCATGAAACCGCATCGATCCCGTCACCTTGTCCTGCTGGCCAGGCCACACTTGGTGTGAACAGCGACTACTCTGCTTTCTGCATTGAAGGCACTCCTGGATGCAAGTACTACGAGGCTGCGGCATACGCGGCATATTGCAATCGCCTTTGTTTTGTGAATTTTTCTGTTCTTTTGTTGAGGAAAGTAAGTTGCAGCCTGAATTGAAGACAGGTTCCTATGTTCATTACCAACAGCTCCTCGCCAGTGGAATGTGGTCAAAACTACCCATATGGAAGCCGCGGGTACGCCGAGCTGTGGTCAGTTCTGGGTGTGGCTTTGGGTTGGTTGCAAGAAAGGAAAAAAGCAACGGTGAGCGAGTCTTGATCTATTCTTGATCTGATCCCACTTCATGTGCTTGATCTGCTTTTTATTTACTTTAGTTTCTGCTGTTTGTCTCCCATGTACCTGCTACGTATCTGCGGCTATTGATGTCTTTATCAATCTTTATTATTTGTTTGATTTGTGGCTGTGCTGCCATAGCACTGCCATTCACTGCGAGGCAAAAAAGGTTGCGCCTCAGCGATTTTGCGCTCTTCTCATCCCTGGCTTACGAGTCTGAGGAGTGCCTGTAGACTCGGTAGACTGCAGTTAGACTCAGACAGCGGGCTCTTGAATTTTCCAGAAATGTCCTATATAGCACTCTGAGACTCTTCACAGATAAATCATATTGTAGATATTCATAGATACCAGTAGTACCCGCACGAGGCGGGGCGGAAGTTGCCTTAGGGATATATTAATAAGCCGTTTTTCATCTATAGAATTTGCATGCGCCGTGCGCCAGCCAGGCCCGTGCGTGCGTGCTTTGTGCGATGCTGTTGCACAGATGTTGTCCAAGAACATGACCTGCGCACGATCCCGGCGCAATGCAACGCCAAGCCAACACTTTCTCACACTTCACACTGCACTCTTCACACTTCACACTTGCACTTCACACCCCGCACTTCATCTCATCTCAGATCATGTGAGCTCTTCTCACCTCATCTCACCTCATCTCAGCTCTTCTCATCTCATCCCATTTCCTCTCACATGTCATCTAAGAAAGTTCTTCTCAACTGTTTTCATCTCATCCGAGCACTGATCAACCTTCCTCATCTCCTCGAAGTTGTTCTCAACTCATCTCAGCTGTTCTGCACGCCAGAAAGCTCTTACTGTCAGCACACAGAAGCTTGAGACACAGATGCATTTACACTTTACACAGGAAAACCTTCTAGAAAGTATCTTTGTACTACAAAGCTTAGCTCATCTCCCCATCCCAAAAAAGTTTCGTTAACACACAAAAGCTCTTGTTCAAATTGTACACCTAGACCATATTATAATATTATATTATTTACAGTATTGTGGTAACTCACGCGACATGTTCATGCATTGCAGCAAATCTTAACTACAGCATATCTTATGTTAATTGTAATCTGTCAATCAGACACATACGAGCTTTCTCATAGTCTTTGCCGCAAGCGCTTTGACCATGGCGCTGCTGAGCGCATTTTTCTCTGGTGCCTGGTCGCCGGCACAAGTGCTGTCCAAGGCCCGGGCGCAACACCTGCAGCCGTTCTTCCAGGACTCTGCAATGTGTTGTCCTGCCAGCCAATACGGCAAAAGTTGCTTGCGCAAAAACATGATCGGAAGGAGCTGCATTGAAACCCACCGCATATGAATTATCACAAAGCTTTAAAGTGGAAATGCGAACCGCTTCTTGGCCTTCCATCTCTGACTCACGTCAGCAGTGCCGTGTTCGGAAAAGTAATCTATTGAAGCGCCACTGCTCAACTCGAGAATCCGTCTGGCCGGCATTCGACGGATCCTGGCCTGCACAGTGCCATGCATCGTTCCATGCCCAAGACTCCTCTGTAGAGGTCACGTCTTCATCTTTGTGCATGTTGAGGTCGCCAACCAACAAGTGACCATCTACCTGCAAAGCTTGTAAGGTACACAATGCTGACTCCAGCTCCGCTAAGTGCTGCGGCTGGCCCTCTTGGCTGGCAGTCAAATGTACCGTCCCAATCGCAAGAACGGCACCGTTGCCACGAAGCTGCACCTGCACCGCCAACAAGCGACGTGGCGACTCAGGCGTCAAAGTGGACATCGACATTCGCAACTTCCGAATGGTGGCAATCATTAGCAGCATGCAAACATCGAAGGGTTCGGCGCTCACACTTCCTCGCCCCATGGCCGTGGCAACTTCATACCCATGGCTGCGAGCAATCTGCAACAAATCTTCAACGCACGACGGCGTGACTTCCTGCAAGCACAAAATATCACACTTGCAAAGTATGTCTTGAAAACCTTCATCTAGGTTCTTCACTTGCATGTTCAGCGTCCCAAAAGTCACTCGTGCCGCTGCGCGGCTGACATCTGCCCTCAAATCTGCACCAGGCTGGGAAAGATTCTCCTGTTCCACTTCGACATACACGGCTGGTGCCTCCACACCGATACCACTGTGGCGATCGTGCGTATTATACGTATTGCATTTGTCTGTAAGCCTCTGATGCCATTTGCGACGAACGCGCCGCACGGCGTCGGAAATTGCAGCTCCAAAACCGGAGGATCTCGATGCCAAAGCGAAAAAAAGACGATTTCGAAGCACTTTTTAAAAGGGCTTTTAAAGGAAAATTGGTACCGCCAAAATAGAGAAAATTTGCTGACAAATCAGTGTCGCAGCCTTGATGCAGCCACTCCAATACGATTTACGATGCCCAGCTGCGAAAAGAGTAGTATTACGCATGCAGCCGCGGCACCAAGCAACCTTGACGCAGCCACTACAATTCTGCAGACATTGAATTGCGAAACACAAGAGAACTACGCGCAGAGGCGTCGGAAATTGCAGCTCCAAAACCGGATCTCGACACCAAAATGACAAAAAAGACGATTTTGAAACACTTTTAAAAATGACTTTGAAAAGGAAAACTACGAGATCCAGCTGAAAAAGACAATAGTATTACGCATGCAACCGCAGCACCCATCAACCTTGACGCAGCCACTACAATGCGACCTGCACACACTGAATTGCGAAACACAATAGAACTGCGTCGGAAATTGCAGCTCCAAAACCGGATCTCGACGCCAAAGCGGCAAAAAGATGATTTTGAATCACTTTTTTCAAGGACCTTGAAAAACCTTGACGTAGCCACTACAATGCGATCTGCAGACACTGAATTGCCAAACACAATAGAACTACCCGCAATGGTGTCGGAAATTGCAGCTCCAAAACAAAGCCCATGCAACATTCATGCAGCCATTACAATAAGTCTCGCAGCATCACATAGCAAGCCCACACGTATCAACGCACATGGCAACACCAGATGACAACAATCATGCAGCCATTCCAATGCGATCTGCAACCACAGATTCAAGAAACGCGTAGAACTACGCACACAGGAACAACCACTCGTTGCAGAACACAGAGGAGGAAAATATTCGCGGATGAAACGACCGCAACCGCAACCGCCGCACACAGGAGGTACCTTTCATCGCTGGCTGCAACCACTTCACACGGAAAAACACAAGGTTTCGTCCCCGGCTTCCCCCCCAACACAAGCCCCATGCAAGGAATGCATTTTGCAGCATGACGTGGCTAACCCGCATGTATCTACGCACATGGCAACACCAGATGACAACAATCATGCAGCCATTCCAATGCGATCTGCAACCACAGATTCAAGAAACGCATAGAACTACGCACACAGGAACAACCACTCGTTGCAGAACACAGAGGAGGAAAATATTCGCGGATGAAACGACCGCAGCCGCAACCGCCGCACACAGGAGGCACCTTTCATCGCCAGCTGCAACCACTTTACACGGAAAAACGCAAGGCTTCGTGCTCCGGCTTCCTCCCCAACACAAGCCCCATGCAGCGTTCATGCAGCCATCACAATGCGTTTTGCAGTCTCACACCACCCTTCCTTCAGTGTATTGTTGTGTCATGTACAGTCTCACACCACCCTTCATTGAGTATATTGTTACGTGATGTAACATCTCACACCACCCTTCATTGAGTGTATTCTTATGTGATGTAACGTCTCACACCACCCTTCATCGAGTATATTGTTATATGATGTCAAGTCTCACACCACCCTTCATTGAGTGTATTGATACGTGATGTACAGTCTTACACCACCCTTCATTGAGTGTATTCTTATGTGATGTAAAGTCTCACACCACCTTTCATTGAGTAGTCTCACACCACCCTTCATTGAGTGTATTCTCATGTGATGTAAAGTCTCACACCACCCTTCATTGAGTGTATTGATACGTGATGTACAGTCTTACACCACCCTTCATTGAGTGTATTCTTATGTGATGTAACGTCTCACACCACCCTTCATTGAGTATATTGTTATATGATGTCACGTCTCACACCACCCTTCATTGAGTGTATTGATACGTGATGTACAGTCTTACACCACCCTTCATTGAATGTATTCTTATGTGATGTAAAGTCTCACACCACCCTTCATTGAGTGTATTCTCATGTGATGTAAAGTCTCACACCACCCTTCATCAGGTAAAAGTCATCCGTAGCTCGGAAGATTGCTTCCCAACTTCGTTTGATCATAAGAGCATTCTTCTTGGCACTCACTCTGCTTGCTGTTCCTTCGTACTGTTCCGTCGCACTCGCAGCATGAGAGGAGGGATTGGTGCGTGGGCTGAAGCGACGCTTTGCTGCACCTGGAATCCCTTGCCACTGCACCAGTGGTGTTTGTCAAAACTTGCCTAAGAACAGAAGGTGCGGGTAGATGGGAAAAACGGTATGAAAAACATAGACATTGTAAACCGATGAAGAAACAAATGAAGATGCAGATGAAGATGCAGAGGTGTAATGTTGGTCTCACAGCCTGAGAATCTGATGTTTCCCAAGATATTTTGCCTTAGGCTACCATCCTGGCTGGAGACTTACATTTTCTCGCCGTGCAGGCTGCGAATGGGTGGGTCTCAAGACTGGAAGCGAAAGTATGGCCATTGTTCGCCATTGTTTGGCAGATTCGAGTTGATTGTGAAATATATTGAAGTAGGCACCGCCATCTCCAGACCTTGGTTTGTTGCATGCAAATGCAATCTATCAGTCAACACAAAGATGCACCTCACCGATTTTAATGCCTTATTTAAAACTCCAGTTTCAGGCAAACCAAACCAGTCCCGAGAGCAATGTGCGCACGAGGCATTGGAGATCCTGAAGCAAGCTTGGACTGGACAGCCGCAGTGACTCGATTTTGGTGGTGTATTGAAATGTATTGAAACTTCCTGCGACAGCACAATGTTTTTCATCTTTGATTCCAAGTTGCAGATTCCATGCTGTTATTATTTTGCTTGGCCGTTAGTTCAAGCGGGCTCGTGATATTTATTGATCACAACAAAGCTCCAAGATGTGAAAACATCCACTCGCAGAACGCACAGAATCAGCCATGGAGACACAGAGCATTGGGATTTTTGTTTGCTGTATACATTGTCACTTTGTTTTACCCTTCGCAGCCATGGAGTCTCTCCCATGCGAAATGGAGCTAAGCAGGCTTTGGCAAAGCTCAAAAGGCGACGCTGCAGCGATTGATTTATCGCTTATTTGACCGTGTTTCAGCACTGGAAGACTTGCCGATTTTAGAAAACTTTGAAATATTTTTTAACGACTTCAACGCGTGCACATGCAGCTTCTTGAGGGAACCCCTTGTGGGTTGGCAGTTGGGCTGGACCACGAAAGTGCTGCCACATCTCGACCCACCCGGAGCTTTGGATCTACTTGAGCAGCTGCAGGTGGCCAGGCGGGCTTGGAGTTGAAAGGCTGCAGTAAGTTGACAATAAGATGCAGCTTTCAAGGCTACGTCAGGCTTTACAAGGTGTGAGTTTCGTCAGCCTACGTCAGTCTGCCGAGTCCCCTGTTGACTCAGAGAACTTTGGTGTAACATGTATAGAGTGTCAATCGCAGCAGTCTCCTGTTGACATGCGAGGATTCCGATCCACGTCTTCCACTGCGTGCAAGCAATAAGCCTTTGCTCCCGATCTGCTGCTTGGTCTGAGGCATTGACTGCCCTTGGAATGTGTAAACCTTGGTCAGCGGTTGCCGTCAATGCTGCCATGGCTGCTTGTGCCAATGCCTCCCAATGGCGTCTTGCTTTGACGTTGCTCCAGGACTGAGTCCACAAGATTCGAAAATTTCGACAAGATTCGAAACGTGTAGAGTGTAGACCAGCCTCGCATTGAAACTCTTGGAGCGGCAACATGTCTGGTACAGGTCGTATCAGGTCGTATCAGGTCGTACTAGAATCAAAGCATTGGGAGTCACTGGAAGTCACACCTCCCGAGAGTTGCGTGCAATACAGTGCGGCCAGGATATGCAGGACGAGCAGATTGCCACTGCCATCAGCTTCAGCTCAGCCATCAATGCTTGTGCCAAAGCGTTCTTGTGGCAAAGATCAATCCATCTTCTAACGGAAATGCAGCTGAATGGATTTTCCAGGACTCAAACATTGGCTCATACCAGATGTTCCATGATGTTCCACCAGATTCGAACATGGATGTCGATGTCAGCCCTCGAGCTCGCATCAGTTAACACCTTGGATCCTTGGATCCAGGAACACCATCGCCTTCAACGCGGCTCTAAGCAGCTGCGCAATGGGCGCCTTGGGTGCTGAGAGAATTAAGTAATTCGTTTCATTTGTTCCACTCTATCGCCATTGGACTCCCTTCACTATCATACTTGTCATAGTTGCAGGTGCGCAGTGGCAGGCTGCTTTGGGTCTTTTCGCAGCCATGGCAAATAAGAAGCTGCAGAAGCTCGTTAGCAATGTCTTTAAAGCTCTTCGTTACTTCGAAACTTGCGAATCCTTATGAACCTCCCAGTCTTTCCAAACATCGGCAACCTCTTCTGAAGGTTCATAGTCTCTGTTGGAAAGTTCCGAGGAGATGGGTCCAGATATTGTAGAGTCAGTCTCTACTAGCAGACAAAACTGTTGATTTGATGTTTTGGTCCTTTTTTGTTTCATGCTCTCACCTCCAGCTTGGAATGAGGAAAACAACAATCACATTTAATGCTGTGATCACTGCATGTGAAAAGGCCGCACGGTGGCAGGCTCGGGCTTGTCTGTTCGCAGAGCTGACTCAGCCGTGTTTGTCACACCATCCGGAATGCAGCGATAACTTCATCAATTGCTGGACTACCTCCCACAACACTAGGGTATTCACATCAATAGCACCGGAGTGTTTCTTTTCTCAAAGAAAAACATACTGTATATACTTTCAATGTCTGGACCAAAGTCAGTGCTCAATCCTTCATCGACATGTCTCGTGCCGTCTTTGCATGTCTTTGCGAGGTGGCGTTGAAGCTATTTTCATTTGCACAGCCAGATGTGGTCAGTTGCAGCGCTGCCATTAGCGCCTGCGAGAAGGGGACCCGCTGGCGCCAGGCCCGTTGAGATTCTATATGCAGCAGAAGTATTTCAATGTTATGGAACATTATTGATCATTCAGATGCATTCAGATATCCTACACTCTCCTGACTTTATTCTGGTGACCCAATCTCTATTCTAACCAGTCGGCTTTCCTGATCCTGGTCCTCATCACATGTTTGTTTCTAAAGCATACTACCTCTGAAGGTAATCACACCACCAAAATTTACAATTAAATTAAGATTTTTCAGCTCTTTCAATTCTATTTTTGCCGAAACATCTGAAACACTGAAACAGCGTGTCTTCGCCTCTCAATGCCAGAGGCCTTGCACCTCTTGGGATTCTGGCAAAAGCTGAGATGAAAATAATGGCAGCGGCAGCGGTCCGAGACCAGTGGCTTTTCTGCTTCAATTTTCTCAAAAACATGCTTCAATTGTCAAAATTGTCAGACCAAGACTCCAATCATCTGCCACTCCGGAAGGACCACATACTTTGAGTTTGAGGATGCAGAGTCGAGTGCTCAGTGAAATCTTGAGAAAGGCGAGGAAACCCAATGCTGTGAACTCAAGATTGTACAGTAGTAGTCCAATGCCGGCCCTGCTTTTGTGCTCGTTTGAAAAGCTATTGACATCTATTCACACATGCGGCCAGCCGCATTCAAGGTAATATGTGCATGACCTATGTTAAAAAAGAACTGCAAGGCAAAGTTTTTAAAATCCGACTGCAATTTGATGCTCCCTTGTCTAAATCGAAGAGTGACCTGCACACGGGTATATTGTCAATAGTCAAGCTTGAACAGTCTGCAGTTGTTGGAGGGGCCGTGGGTTGCTCTCGGAAAGCCCCTAGGAACTCCACCTCCATCATTGCGGTCCGTGGGACGAGCACCATGCTGGATGTGTTGGCAACCTGCCTGAAGTCTGAAAGAGACCTTAACTCGGAATTCTGTCACAGCAACAAATGAATGTATGATTCAACAATGCACTTTGGTGCCTGTTGGCCTGATTTGCATTGTTTGTCAAAGGTCTGTGTAGATTCCACATGGATTTTGGATCAGCGTTGAGAATCTGCAGTATGCAGCAATGTGATGCAAAATGCAAGAGTTCCAGACTCATCGTGAGAAGACAGTGCTCGCTGGTTCTAAAGATGAGCCACTTTCACATCAGCCAGGATGACATGAACATTTGGCTGCCTGCTGCCATCATGAAAGTCTTCAGTATCGTTGGCTGGCTTCTTAGGAGCTGATTCAGCAAGTAACCATCACTCATTGTGAAAGTCGCTGGAACAAGATTACCTCACAGGATATCAATATGGCATTTGTAGCCATGGTAGCCTGCTCCAGTTCCTGTGCCAAAGTGATTATGACTCCCGCAGCCGTATGGACCAAAGTAAACAACAATAGCAGATCGGAAGGTAAGCATATTGCCTACGAGTTCTGATTGGAAACCATCTTCTTGAAGCATGGGCCCTCACAAGATTAGCCTCAAGAGTAGCAGGGGATAGCAGGGGTGTGCTATGCAGCAAAGCCTCTTCGCTCAAGTCAGACTTTTCAAGCCGTCCAGTTAGGCATCCCAAAGTCATTGTGGCAGCGTTCCACTTTGAGCGTATATACACATATAATTTATTATATATATATATATATATTGTTGCAGTATACATACAATAAAACATGCTTTAGCAAAAAGAAACAAATCATGATACTTTCTTGATGGATGTTCCCTGCGTGGATCTGACATGGCTACCAGAACCTGGCTCTTGTAGCGAGCTGGAGAAGGATTCCGGGGCCGCGGGAACATTTGGAAAAGGCAGAATAGTCAAATAGTCCCTGCTTCTCCCTTTTTGATCCTTTTTGGCCTTCCTGACTTCCTGGCACCTAAAGTCTGTGTGTTTTCTGTGTTTCCCCCTGTCATCTGTTTCATTGGACCGGGAGGCCGAGGAATTGGCAGCCTCACTGGATGCTGCCTTCGGCCCTGAAGGTTTGGGCTTGGTTTGCGTCACTGGCGACGAGGCCGGACAGACCTGATATTGGACATGACCTTCTCAGGGAAGCCTCCAAAACTCACATTTCTCCGTTGGAGCCTCGAATTGCATCATTTGCGCCTGGCACCCTTTGAGAACCACTTTCAGTCAAAGATGTCAGAGTTGAGTACCGTGGTAACCGTCAAAGGTTTCTAAAGACTTGTTTCTGGCTTCAGTTTTGGGTGATTTGGCAAGGCCTTTGAAGCCTCCATTTGCCGCTGGCGAAATGAGCTGTTGCCATTGGCACAAAGATTGGCTCGGCTTCCAGAGGAGTCAAAGGCCCTCTGTGGCGTCAGCTGTGCACGGCCGTGCACTGAATGCATTGGCCAAGCGGGCGAAAACTGTATCCATTTTCGATCACTTTTGTCTGTCTTAGGGGGTCTTGAATTCCTTGCACCTAAAGCTTGGCAAACCGCCATTCAGATGATTATTCGGGCGTCATCATGTCCGCTGGCAGTGTGTGGCTGAATGTTTCAGCACCAGGATGCAATACGCGAACGCGGCACCCTGAATGTCAACAACTATTCCAAAGGCAGGGCAGAGCTTGAAAGCTGACTTGACAGTTGTCAGAATATGTCTTCCCTGGACAAAAAAGCATATTTGTATCAGACAGTCGAAGACAGGAAATGTCTCGATATCCAAGTTGCATAACCCGAGGTGTGGATGGCAACCGCACAGGGTTTTACTTCCACCCGGCGGTTGACAATCCAGCTGAATGCCTGCCAGTTGGAGTAACTGCTGACCCGACTTTCTACTCGCCTAACTTGTGGCCGGACAAGGACCGAAAAACTTTGACCGGAGTTGGTCTGCAGAGCTGTCTGTGTCACCTGCATATTTTTGGAGGAAGAAACGACCACTGGTAGCTTGGCGCGTTGCGCTGCGTTGTCAGGACTTGCCCAATCTGCGACCATTGGCTCGCGAAGCTGCCGTGGAGCTTGTTGAAGTGGGAAGGCGCTTGGCTGCAGCTGTGGATTGGCGCTGTAGCCAGGTGCGGAGCTTCAATGATTTTGGCACTTCATTCGATGGCATTTTTAAGCATTTTTACATATTTGTACAATCAAATCATATTCAAAGCGTCTCAGTGGTATGAGTTCCGGTGTTCAGGTGCATCCTCACTATCGACCGGGCACCTTGCAACGGTTGGTTGCGCCAGCTGAGAAGTGCAACCACAAGTGCAGGCTCATTTGCTACCACGCCTCTCGAAGACACAGACAGACTGGAATCATTGGAGTGTATACAACGCACAGAAAGATAGGCCACATCTATTGGAGTGTGGTAGGTATTTGCGATGACAATCAAAATCGTTTTTTCTTTTCTGTTGTTACCAAGTTGTACATGTTTGAGGTAGTTTCCCATTTTTTAGAAGAACAGAATATGACAAGAATTCTAGTACAGGCAAGGACGGTCTTCATCGTGTTCGACAGTCAAAGTCTGCCATCTCCTGTTTTTTGTATTCAATGCTGGGAGCCAAGGAGTACGAGACCGCAGAACAGCGCGCTGCCTTCAAAGGCATGTGGGCGCCTCCCCACAAGGACCGCCGGTGTGGAAGCCATTGGAAGCCAAGTTGCCAGTTTTTTTTGCATTAATGAATGCATAGATAATCATTGATGAATTCAAGAGCTTTGTAGCTAGCAGCTTGCAGTTTTTCTGTGAACCCCTGGATCTGACTCCGGGGGAACGATTTGTAGCCGCACGCAGGACACGGGGCTGCTCACCATCCTTTTGCCTGGGATCTTCCTGGATAGCACTGGTGAGCAGCTGACTTGCCCTGATCCAGAAGTTGGCCTGTATGTGAAAGACAGGACTTGGCACCTGGTGCTATTTAAAGGGAGATGGAGTTGAAGAAATATACAAGATTGCCAAGCCGATTAATGAGTACTTTCTCACTGAAGATATTGTGGATACATGTGGATACATGTGGATACATGTGGATACATGTGGATACATGTGGATACATGTGGATACATGTGGATACATGTGGATACATGTGGATACATGTGGATAATGTGGATACCTTGTTGTTGTTGTTGTTGCTGTTGCTGTTGCGGTTGCGGCCCACAGCAGTCGCTGCAGCCCGGGAACACACCGACACCGGCAGATCGACAATCAAGCTCCGATAAAACAAACCAAGCGTCATTGCAAGTCGTCCCTGCTAGCTTCAGGTGGCCCAAACTAGAGAAGGAAAAAATTGACCGAGCAGACGAAACCAACAAGGAACTGGCACCGAAGGACAAATGCCCAACACAGCAACCAAAAGGGACAAGAAACACAGCAAAGCAGGCAGAAGCCCCAGCGTGCCAACCACAACCACCAAAGGGAAGATAAACACCCCAGAGCGGGCGGAAGCCCCAAAGAGCCGAAAGACAAACAACCCCAAACCACAGCCACTCAAGGGAGGAAGACGAACACCACAGGGCGGGCAAAAGTCCCAGAGCGCCAAAAAACTAACGCCAATCACAACAACGAAAACGAACGGAGACAGCCCAGGGCCCAGAACGCCAATCAAAAAAACACCGACCCCAACCGCCAAACCAGAAACACCCCAGGCCGGGCAGAAGCCACAGGGCGCCCAAAAGGGAAACACCAGCAGCAGCAACCAGCAACAAAGAACAATTGCCAGCCACAGCCACCAAGAAGAAGAGAGACACAACAGAGGGGCAAAACACCCAAACAAAAAACAAAATACCTCAACGTGGGCAGAAGTCCCAGAGCGCCAAAAGACAAACACCGACCACAAACCACAGCCACTCAGGGAAGAAGACGAACACCCCAGGGCGGGCAGAAGCCCCACAGCGCCAAAAAAGCAAACACCAACCTCCACCAACAACAGGAACAGAGACAGCGCGGGCAGGCGGAAGTCCCAGAGCGCCACACACCAGCCAACAGAAAAGGAAGGAAGGAAGGAAGAAAGAAAAGAAAGAAAGAAAAAGAAGGAGAATCAAGAACTGCACCGCATGGCAGCAAAAGACACAAAGCGACCTAACCCCCAGGGCGGACAAACCCCAAAGCGCAAAACACAACACCAAACATCAGCACAAGCCGCAGAGTGGCTAGGACCCATGCCAACGGCAGCCACCAAGAGGAAGAGAAACGCAGCAAAGCAGGCAGAAGCCCCATAGCGCCAAAAGACAAACACCAACACAACCACCCAAGGGAAGAAGACGAAAAACACCAGAGCCCCAAAAAACTAACGCCAATCACAACAACGAAAGCGAACGGAGACAGCCCAGGGCGGCAGAAGCCCCAGGAAGCCCAGAGCACCAAACAACAAACACCAGACACAACCACCAAAAGAAAGACACCCCAGGGCGGGCAGAAGCCACAGGGCACCAAAAGAGAAAACACCAACAGCAGCGACCAGCATCAAAGGACAAAAATCCACCGCAGCCGCCAACAGGAAGAAGCAAAACAGAGGGGGCAGAACCGCCAAAACAAAAACGAAAGACACCCCAGGGCGAGCAGAAGCCCCAGAGCGCCAAAAGACAAACACCGACCACAACCGCCAACCACAACCGGCAACAAACACAAACCGCGGCGGATGAAAGCCCGAAAACGCGAAACGCAACACAAGCGGCATCGCCGAATGCCAAGAGCAATCAAATGCTCTGCTGCGCAAACGCGGCACTGTCACTCTTGCACCGGCTTGGGAGAAGGGATGGGGGGTGCTCGTCGGGAACAAACCCTTAGTGCCGGGGTCCACCCCATCCCATGAAGTCTCACCCAGCCAAATAGTGCAAGACCCGGGGGATGTGGATACCTATTTCGGTCTTTCGCGATCCCATTTCAAACCCTAGATGTTTTTTGCCAAGTGTGTTGACGTTTGGAATGCAGAGCAGACATACAAAAATACACTTGAAATAAACCGATTGTGCAGTGAAGAAAACCAGGGTTGAAAGTCTTGCATCAACTGCCCTATTGGTTCTGCATGGTTGCTGAGACTGGCCTACTCTGTTTTGTCGCACGAGTTGTATGCTTCTTGCTGAGCTGAATTGGAAGTGGTTTCAAAAGGCAACAAGGACTCTTGCAAACAATATTGAGCGGGCTACAGTTTCAATTTGGACTTTGAGCCAGTGCGGAGATATTGATTCTCCTGGGAAGCAAGGCAATTTCCTTCACCTCAACCTACTGCATTTTGAGGTTTGTCTTGTCTGAGAAGAACCCCCCGCAGGAAGGGCAAGATAGTCCAAATCCGAAAACCAGATGGAGTTGGCGAATGCATCTTCTTCCAAGTGGGAGAGGCCGCGGCCACTGTGGATTCTCTACATGTTCTACGAAACCGTCAAGTGAGAGATGTTATTGTAACATGGCTCAGTTCTTGACCTGATTGTGACTGCGTGATGAAGACTTGCCTAGGCGCTGCAAGTCGTGTCTGGAGGACTTTACCATGCCACTGAGCCATTCGGCTAAAGCTTTGACATTTTTAAGATTTTTAAAGCTGTTCTAAACTCCAAGAACAGGGCAAAGGGAAACTTTTCTACTAGACACCTTGAGCAACTTCAGAGTTTCCACACCACAGGTTTGGTGATGTGTGGTGATGTTTGGTGAAATGTCACCAAGGCATTGTGTTCGTGGACCTCCCAGCCATGGTGGAGGCTTGATATCGGCTTGATCCATCAGTCATGCTGCCGACATCTCCACAGCAAGGCTACGAAAGGGCCACCATGGCAGTCTTCCTTCAGCCGCATGGGCATGAGGAGAAGTTGATTTGAGCTGATGCTGACAGACTCTGAATTTGCACCCTTGTGGCGTCACCGCACTGCAACCTGTAAAAAAAAGTGTGGATTTCACCAACCGCTTCGCAGCGCAGTGCAGGAGCTACCTTTGCCTGAAGGTATGTCAATGGCAGAGGCAAAACTGATGTAAACCTGCACACAATGAATGAAACCGGCTCAGATATGCTTAGAATCTTAGAAAGCATGCCAACATGTGCTGACATGTTCTAGCATGTGCTAAGATGCTCAACGGTGCTAACATGCTTAGTCCTGAGTCAGCAAGTGAAGTTCTGGCATTGAAAGGTAGCAGAGCGGGCATACGACGGACTATTTAGGCCAGCATTCTTCAGTCACAAACAGACACCCAAAAAAGAAATCACGAGAACCTTTCAGTCGAGTTGAGTTTAGTTTTGTGTCCTGATCCAGGCCTTGTTATGCCTTGTTTCTCAGGATGTTCCTTCTCTACCAGCCAAAGGAAGCTCGTGGAATCAACTTTCTGCACTTTTGCCAGCGTGAAGGCTTCTAGCGCAGAAAAGTGGCAGCGCGCGCACTCTTTGGAGCATCAGAGACCCCAAGTTGTGAGTTGCGAGTTTTTTGATGTTGACACAAAAAGGATACCTTGCAGGGCTTCCGTGTCTGCTTTCAGGGACCAAGGCCGCCTATTTGGTCTTTTGAAGTGCATTTTGATGGGAGAAGCTTGACTTGCAGCTTGAAGTGCACCCAGGACCAAAGCTGACTGATGCAGTTGCAGAGGTGCCGACTGGTGTGCTTCAGCAACTCATGAGCAAGTCGGGCAACGTAGGTCTCTCACGATCTTGTACGTGAAAGCCGGGAAAGCCTCACTTCACGTGATTGGGCCCTAAAGAGGCAATTGCACGGGTCTCTACACTGCTCTATTCTGATGGCCTCCAGAAGCAGTGCCCCATGAGATTTGGCTTCAGCGTTTGAGAACATGCACCTTGCAGCCTTTCAAGTGTTCAATGTTCAGGTACTTTCAGCAGCTGCTAAATTACGTGCAAAAGCGCCAGGCCCAGTTTCCCAACAGGCCAGTGAACAAGGGCAGCATGGAATGTTGGATCTTTTGATCTCATTCAAATCAAGATGCTGTCTCTTGATGCCGCTTGCACTTGCCTGCATTCAGCCAGAATTTGTTGGTATAAATCAATCAAATGCAGCAACGGCAGCTTGATGCTTCTGGTACTTTGGAAATTGCATTGGAGACTGCATTTCTTGCTTGACGCTAACAGTTCTTGTGCCAGGCGCCTGTACATCACAGGCCACTCTTTGGGGGGGGGCTTGGCGAAGCTAGTGGCTGCGAACGTGAGCATACCAGTGGGGAACCCCAGGACACAGTCAGTCATCGGAGACAACAGATGCATAGGGAGAGGTGGCCTGACTCCGTTTCAGGGAAGTCGCAATGCATACACTGGGATAAAGTGCAATAAAAGAACCCCGAGCCGAGAAAACAAGCTTTTTCAGATTGCCACAGCAAAGCGCGTCGAGACCCTTGAGACTGTCATCTTTGTTTCTAAGTCTCCATATGGTCTGTGGGTTCAATCCTATGGAGGGTCTCTGAATCTTAGCTCAGCTGTTTGAAAAGTCCAGAGGATGAGTTTGGGTTCTGACCATGAATGGCCTGCGGCACATTAGATCTGGCATCACGAACAAACATGATGTCAATTTTTGGAAAAAGCACGTGAATTTGTTTTCACAAGAGGAATTTGCAAGAGAATGCATACCTTGACGTGAATACCTTGACGTTGCAATTTGCAAATGTTATTGACTCACGTTCAAATCAGAAATTCAAAGCCGGATCTTACTAGGCGGAAAAGAAATTGATGCCCGAACATGGAAAAACTGCAGCTCTGCTTTGGATGTATTACTGTATAGATGTATACCCACGGTACTGGATATCTGTATGATTATGATTGATTATGATTGATTATGAATATATACATATATATATAGATTATTTGATGATATTTGATGTATTGTGAAGTATGGAAGTATTTATATTTTTTTGTATACATACACGCACACACACACACACATATATATATATATGTATACATGTACATATATTCTTACACAAACTTATATGCATTTACTGCACACACACACACATCAAATATTTTTCTTTGGTGGTCCTCAGTTCCAGGCGGTGACCTTTATGGCCCCGGGCTTGGAAAGCACCAGCTATTTGGTGTATCGGCAGAACAAGATCCAGGACGACGTTGCACGATGCTGCACGATGTTGCACGGCACTGAACTTGCTGTGCAAGTTGCTGTGCAGGTTGCACATCCTGTCCATGTAAAAGCCTTCGAGGTATACAATCGTATGTATTTCTTTGGAAGAATTCACGCGTCAAGCCTGCTGGAAGGAGCTGCACAATGTTGCACTGACACTAATGCCAGACAACGATGTGGTCTCAAGGGTTGGCTTCTCAGTTCTGCGAAGGCATCGCAGGCAAAGATGAGCCAACAAGATCCAAAAAGACCAAATGGACATTGGATTGAAATGACTTGAACTTGAAATGACTCGAAATGACTCCAAATGACTCCAAATGACCTCATGACTTCTCGATCTTCTCACATTGAAGGTCGACACGCAGAGTGGCGCCTCGGTGAAGACAAAGTGCGAAGGAAACATGCTTCACTGCAGGATTCCCAGCAGCGAATTGGCTTCAACAATTGTGAACACTGTGAACATGTGTGAGTTTTTTCCATGACGCGATCTATGTCTGTACAGACATTGATGTCTCAATTTGTGACGCCAGACGGCGTGCCTCCTTGCATTGGAGCTATTTGTGGCAGCGTTGCCTTTCCTGGTACCTGGTAGCGCATATGGCGTTCGAAGCTGCTGAGGTCATTTGCTCTCTCCCACCATTTGCAACATACTGCAAGAGTGTGGGCCTGTCGCTCAGTCAAGCTATGTCAAGCTCTTTCCATCTCACCTTCCTATTTTCAGAGCAGTGCGCCTGTGTGCCTGAATCCTAAATGGTCCTTATCAAAAAGGATCATGTTCATTTTCACAAGTTTCAAAGCACACCAACTGACTCGACTCGTGGTTTTTCGAGACCATTTCGTTTCGCATCAGGTCTGGTCGTGCTCCAGAAGAAGAGGGAACACTATACCTTCCGTGCGGGATGTGCGGTGCTCGACACTTCCCAAAGCAGTGACTGTTTGTATCCATGTGTAACTTTAGACTTGAGACCAAGAATGAAGTTTGTGGCATCTGTCCATTCATCTGGACATCTATTGCTTCTTTTGGATCCAGCAATGCAGATGTGTCACCTGCGAATTGTCTCAAATTTTCTCTTGGCAAACCTTAAGTGCGGAACATCGTGCAACAGCGTGACATGAGCCAAGGTGTCCAGATATGCCTTGTGGCTGAGTCAACTCCTGAGTCTATGGCTTAAAGATCTGCATGACTAGACTTCCAGTGGATCTCTAGTCCGATCTAGAAGATGTAATCTATTTCCTATGGATGTATCATTGCTGTAACATGCTGTAACATCTATCTCGACTATCTGGGTACGAGATATTGTCTCAAAACAGAAGTTGGATTCCTGAGAGATCCTTCATTGAGATCACTGCTGTTTGTGTCTTATCAGAATTTGGGCTCAAGCCTCTAAAAACGGAGGCGTAGAGAAAGAGTGCTATGCTTGGTGGTGATTCCAGCTCCTCCTCCTCCCTCAACTGTAAAGATTACTGTAACAGAAACAGCTGCTAATAGCTGCTCAAACAGAAATCTGTGGACATGTCAAGCATGGGAATCACAAATGTGTCGAGATCCGTCAGCAGTTTGTACCATCATTTTCTGATCAGCAAACAGCTCGTTGGTGGCAGCAACGTAGCTTCACCATGATTCAAGGCATGTTCAGTGATGACTTCCTAATCAGCGCCTTGGCTAAAGAGAAAAAGAGGAAGTGAAAGAAAGAGAGCAAACGAACTATAGAGAGCGAGAGTTGCAAAAAAGGGCTGAAGTAAGCTTTGCAAAGTGGTCGTTGTTTAGATGATGCAGAATGCAACTCTGATAAGAGCTGCTACCCAAGTTAAGTCATAACTTGGATTAACGAGATTCTTGAAGCAGAGATGTATTGTACAGTATACACATGATATCATATTATATACACACACATAGAGAGACAAATGACTTGCAGGCCAGTGCTTTCTAGGCAGTCAGTCACAAAGCATGTCAAAGATGTCAAAGCCTTCCTGCAGATTCCTGATATTTTCGGATTAATCTGCAAGCGTCAGGAGCTTTGCTGGAGCCTTTGCTGCCTCATGGCCCGGGCATTTGCGTTTTGGGCAGCCCGTTCCTCAGGGAAACTCAACTTTTTCCAAAGACGATCAGGATACTCCAGACTCATCCAGACTCGCCTTTTTGGTTTGACTATGTTTGACTCCTTATCTAATAAACTTGCAGCCAAAGTGTGTAGAAAGTCTAGTCGATTTGTTGTTGTGAGCTTGCTTTTGCCAAGGAAAGACTCAAACTGGGATCCTAGTACCAATCCTTTGGCAGTACCATGGCAACAGAACCAACTGCTTATCTCAGGATTGGCAGTTTGCAACACATTGTGGCGAGACACTGTGGACAGTGCCGCGAGGTTTGTGGAACGGGTGCCGCTTGGTAGTGCGCTAAAAATGCTCAAAGGTCGTGAGAAAAGAGGCTTGCGCAATTTCTGACCAAGACCAAAAGTGGCCTCTTCTTTCTGACAGAGGTCAAAGGTTCTTATTTTGATATGATCTTTGCTTCCATCATAGTCATAGTTAAACTTTAGTTAGCCTATTGGTGCTGTGGCAATCGCAATGGCTGTAGCAGCAGCGCTCCTGCGTGGTTGTTCAATTCGCTCCAGGCAAGCCACGAAGCGCCGATGCCCTCTAGCTACGCCTCTTTTGACCAGGCAGCTGCAATCGGTGCATTTGGAAATGATATCAGAATCAATCAGAATCAATAGGAAATTCAATAGGTCTTGCATGGTCTTGGTCCTGGTGTCAGAATCGCAGCGTCACCGAAGCCAGACATCTCTTTCGAACCCTTGGCACTGCACTTCTTCAAACAAAAAGTGAGTACATTAAAGGCAGAGTTGTTCCTCTTGCCCCAGCTTGATTGGCCACTTTGCCAACTACGATCCCTTCAGTCTCCGCAATAGGCCGTACCTGGCGCATTGGGCTTTGATATCGATTTTGGAGAAATCCTCTGAGGCACAAGACAGGGCATCAGGTTTGAGTCATTTGAGTTCATCATTCTGTTTGCAAGATTTCGAGCACAGTGTTCGCAAGACAGCACAAAGAGTGGTATAGAGGCGAAGGCAAGCCATTTTGATTGTTTTTGAACCGATGAAGAGGCTTTGGAAGTTGTCAATCAAGCACTGAATACAGATGACGATGCGGACAGTTGCGTGTTGTGCTCAAATCTTCTCCGACTGACAAGCTGAGCAAGAATCTGGACACTTCGACAGGAAACCGGTCAAGTCAAGTCAAAACCACTTCTTCATACTGGCAATCGAGAACAGCAGTGGAGCATCTGTCTGTGGAGAATCATTTCAAGACTAGTTTTCCCAAGGCGAACAATCAAGTTGCTGACCTGGGGCAGTGACATTTCTCTCTCTACAACCCTTCAAAAACTAAGGCCTTGCCTCGGCTTTCATGTGTCCTTGCCTCGGTAAAGGGTTGCACAGTTTTGTCGCGCATGGTATGTATGGAGAGGTGAATAGAAGGTGCAACAGAAGAATACCAACAAGCAACTAATCGTGCACCGACAGGCTTTTTTCAAGGAACAGACATTGATTGTTTACTTCTCGATGATTAAGTGTTTCTTTCAAGGAACAGACATTGATTGCTTACAGAAACAATCAAGAAAAAAGAGAAGTATTGTAAATGATCGCAAACAACATCACTTATTTGACGATACAGTTATAGTCTTCAATAACTAAGGCCCTTGCAAGACAAGCTGTGAATGACCTTACAGACAGGTGCCAGTTCTACTTCTGCCAGTCCAGCCAAAAAGGTTAGAAAGAAATTGCTGATGAAGTCACTTTAGTCAAGCAAACTCATTGAGCCAAGGCATCTAACCATCCGATCCTGGGATGTTTGTGATTTCAACTCTTAAGTTTTCTCAAGTCTCTGAAAGCCTCTGAGAGTTTCTGAATCCACTTGTCCTTGTCCATCCTTTTCCAATACTGTGCAGGTGTCCTGTTTGTCAGACTTGCCCCACGGCCCGGGTGCTGGGTGCTGACGGCCCACTTCAGCTACTGCCTTTACAGCGGCGATTGCAGCCTGGCTAAGGTGGATGAATGGGGACGACGATAACTAAGAAAACATGATTTGCCACTGAAAGTAAGCCACTGGTTTATGGGCTTTCTTTAGGTCTTCGTGTTTGCGGGTCATTTAACCCTTAAAAAAAACAAAATAAATGGATGTTCCGCTTTCTGTACTAAGGCTTCGACGGTTGGCCTTTGATGCAGGTGCCACCCGCGGTGGCGTCCACCTGGCCCAGCAGGCAGTATCGAAGGCCGATTGTCTTTTAAAGATTGGCAGTCACTAGCAGTCACTAGCAGCCCAAGCATGTGGATTGGTCGCTTGAAGGCATTAGCCCAGCGCAGTCCTGCCCTCCGAGAGGCGGGCATTGGACCAGTGAAGTGAGAAATTTCTGCAAGGCATTTGCGCTAGTACCAGTATTACCAGTTGCCAGTGTTGCCAGTGCTGAAGTTCGATTCCAAGAGTGCCACGATTTTCGATTTTTCCAGGTGCTTTTAGATGTGGCGGAACTCCTTAACTTGCGAGCCTATGCGCGCACCTATGCTGCTTGACTCAAAAGTTGTTGAAAACAATTATAGGACCGGATAACCCCACATGTTACCAACTTCTCTAGACTTAGACTGGGCATAGAAAAGCAAGAAGGGAAGAGAAAGTATAAGAGTGATGGAGGGGGCTAGGCGGATGAGAAGGATGCGGTCAGAAGTGGGGTGATCGCAAGTGCTTCTGTGCTGACCTCAGTGAGTTGTTCAGATGCCCGAGTTGACATGTCCACTTCAGAGCACACCTGTTCAGAGCTATGTTCATCATAGCATGCCATCACCAATAACATATCATAAATAACCCGTCATCATTTAAAAAATAGCTCTATATAGCTATTCATCATAAAACAATCTATTTGATATTTGATGAGGAAAGATATATCTATTTTGATGTTGAATTATCATATTAAATATTCTAAAACCAACATCATTATCATGATATTGATGATGTTGTTGATGATGATGATGACGACGATGATGATGATAAGCCATGTGCACAGGTGAGTGAGTGAGACTGTTAGTGAGTGATGTGAGTGTGGTGTGTGTGAGTGAGAGATGTGAGAGTGAGTGATGTGAGTGTGGTGTGTGTGAGTGAGAGATGTGAGAGTGAGTGAGTGAGTGAGTTTTGTGAGTGAGTGAGTGAGTGAGTGAGTGAGTGTGAGTGAGTGTGAGTGAGTGTGAGTGAGTGTGAGTGAGTGTGAGTGAGTGTGAGTGTGTGTGAGTGTGTGAGTGTGTGAGTGTGTGAGTGTGTGAGTGTGTGAGTGTGTGAGTGTGTGAGTGTGTGAGTGTGTGAGTGTGTGAGTGTGTGAGTGAGTGTGTGTGTGAGTGAGTGAGTGAGTGAATGAGTGAGTGAGTGAGTGAGTGAGTGAGTGAGCCTGCCACGCAAAATGCACATTGTCCCACGCCTGCCACGCAAAAGAGGCGGAGCCCAAGGGACGCCAGGGCGTACATCCAACCCCTTGGCAGTGCACATTGTCCCACGCCTGCCACGCAAAAGAGGCGGAACCCAAGGGACGCCAGGGCCGACCCCTTGGCAGTGCACATTGTCCCACGCCTGCCACGCAAAAGAGGCGGAGCCCAAGGGACGCCAGGGCGTACATCCGACCCCCCCTTGGCATGCACATTGTCCCACGCCTGCCACGCAAAGGAGGCGGAGCCCAAGGGACGCCACGGCGTACATCCGACCCCTTGGCAGTGCACATTGTCCCACGCCTGCCACGCAAAAGAGGCGGAGCCCAAGGGACGCCAGGGCGTACATCCGACCCCTTGGCAGTGCACATTGTCCCACGCCTGCCACGCAAAAGAGGCGGAGCCCAAGGGACGCCAGGGCGTACATCCGACCCCTTGGCAGTGCACATTGTCCCACGCCTGCCACGCAAAAGAGGCGGAGCCCAAGGGACGCCAGGGCGTACATCCGACCCCTTGGCAATGCACATTGTCCCACGCCTGCCACGCAAAATGCACATTGTCCCACGCCTGCCACGCAAAAGAGGCGGAGCCCAAGGGACGCCAGGGCGTACATCCAACCCCTTGGCAGTGCACATTGTCCCACGCCTGCCACGCAAAAGAGGCAGAGCCCAAGGGACGCAACGGCGTACATCCGACCCCTTGGCAGTGCACATTGTCTTACGCCTGCCACGCAAAATGGAAATTGTCCCACGCCTGCCACGCAGAAGAGGCGGAGCCCAAGGGACGCCCAGGGCGTACATCTGACGTCTTGGCAATGCACATTGTCCCACGCCTGCCACGCAAAATGCACATTGTCCCACGCCTGCCACGCAAAAGAGGCGGAGCCCAAGGGAAGGTGGAAGAGCAATGTGATCATGGAGTACGCGCAGGAAGCACTGGAATGAATGGCAGTGAACAACACTCATTGCTTTGGGTCAAGCAGCACACAGCTTCAACTGGCCCAACAACTCATCAAAGGAGGCACCAAGGACCCCGCAGAGGATCCGTTCGAAACGAAGAAAGCGGACGCGATCATAGTGGAAAAGCTCAAAGAAGAACTCAACTCTCTCAAGGGTGACACGAAGGGATGTCAAGCTGCTTTGGAAAAGGCAATTAGGGACGTCGAAGTCCGGATGAACACCTCGGCAAAATATTTGTGAAGTCAGTCAAGCAGCAGGTGGTTCACGCGAACTCCAAAACCCTGTTGCTTGCGCCACCCGTTGCATGGAGAACGATGTGCGGGTGGTATTTCCACGCTTCAAACTATGAGTTTTCGGAGGGAGATCACACGAAGGTCACTTGTGCAAAGTGTCAAGCGTCAGCGCTATGGCATGGAGGTGGAGGTAGCTGACGAATGCAGCTGCTGAAACTTGGGTGAAACACCAATTGGAGGTGTGTGGAAAAGTCGATGCAACGAGATCCAATTGCCTCCAACCACTTCAAAAGTCCGTGAGCTGAGGGGTGGGATGGTGGCTTCCCCTTTTCTTCCTGCCACATAGCGATGTCAATATATAAGATAAATGTATATATATATACACACATATATATATAATATGTGCACATATCCACACATATCTATCATATATATATATATATACATGTACACAAACATATATATATATATACATGCCTATAAATATATTATTATATCTGCTTCATCCAAGGTCAGTTCGCGGCCACGCGTGTTGTCGGAACTTGAGGAGGCCCATTGCTGCACAATCAGCGATTGCCAAGACATGGTTATGGAGAGGAAAAAGAAACATGAAGACAATGGCGATGTCATGTACATGATGGCAATTGCCTGGCAATGTTGACATCAGTACAATCTTTGATTATTTATTCAAATTTGTGATGACGCTATTTGGATGATAGTGATGCAGCAGACAACCAGGATGACTAGCAATCACCAACATAGTTTTTTCACCGTGATGGCTTTTGTTGTGAAGAACTTGTGGAACATGTTTATACTCGCAAGGGCAGTTGCGGATGTTTGAGCGCTCGCAGAGGCACTTTGTCATGCAGCTCACGCCATGGAGTGTCCCGAGGAGTTGTCCGAACCTGAAGGTGGGGCATTTTCCAACTTAGAAACTTCTGCAAAGTCAGAACCATTTGCAGTTCAGTTCTCAGTTTTCCATGATGCGTTTCGAGAATTATTTTTTCCAATTCTGCGAGGTGCACTGACTCCCTTGCGAGGCGTCGCCACTTTGCAGATTTTGCATCTCTGAAGGATGAACGAACCTTGCAGACTTTTGGAGACTTTTGCCCAGGTATCGTTCGAGCTCGTCTCTTACTCGGTAGGACTTTGAGCTCTGCAGCCCATAGCTTGGCCCTATCATATATGCAAGGCGTGTCCTACTGCAAATTTGCTGCGGCGTGAGAAACTCTGTTTCAAATCATCAGCATTTACACAATTTCAATCAGTTTTACAAATTGAAATTTGGATTTCACACCACCATGGTGGGTACTTGGGAGGTGCTGCCCGTGACCGGCTTTTGTCTCGCTGGGGCAGCCCGCAGAAGATGTTTGAACTTGCAGAAGAGCAGTTACCTGCTTAATCTTCTGCGACAGTCCCTGAGTTTTGCACAATTCCAAGATTGTCCAAATATCTCCACACCGAGAGAAAGAGCAGGGTTCGGGCGATCGTTGCGAGAGATCAAGATGTCCAAGACACCAAGATATCACTATTTGTGCCCAGGCTGCGATGCGCGATCGCAGAGGCATCTGCTTTGCAAGATATCAAGACAGATCCAAGTTGGTTGCAGGGTGTGACACCATTTCTGTAGTGCACCCTGTGATCAAACCGTAAGATATGTAAGAGTGACACAAATAGCCATAAATAATTGTTTTTCCTCCTACATCAAGCGGATTCAAGCAAATTACCCCAGAGTAGTACGGTGAATTAACGAGTGTGTGAAGCTTTATGCTCAAGTTGGCATGTCATGTCCAGAGATGTCTGCACGAAAGATTCAAACATGTTCCTTCCAGTTTTTCATGTGTAGACATTCATCATTGACAAGTTAAGCTTGCCTCTGACATTGCCTCTTAACCGCGGTGCAACCGTGCTCCTTTTGGACTTCATCAGGATGGACCCAAGTGCTGAGGGATATTGAGGGCCAAGCCATGAGCAATCCCTGCTTTCCTCCTATGCAGTTTCATGAAGGTGCCCCGCCTGCAAAGCGAGCCCGATTGGAAGCTGCAGAAGTGGGAGTCCAGTCTGTTCAGTCCATGAATTTCATGGGAGCTATGCCAGGCACGACAAACATGCCATGCATGTCCAGCATGCCGAGTATGTCGAGTATGCCGAGTATGTCGAGTATGCCGAGTATGTCGAGTATGCCGAGCATGCCGAGCATGCCAAGCATGCCCTTGATGAACAACAACGGTATGACTCACGCTATGACGCAGTTCATGGCTCCTTTGCCACATAACATGTCGATGAACACATCGATGTCAATGAATAGCTCAATGAACAGCTCTGGAATGATGGGAATGACTCCAGGTATGGCCCCTGGTACCATGCCTTGCAACATGGCCATGCTTCCGCCTCAAAGAGGACCGACACCCCCTGGACCACCTGGACCACCTGGACCACCTGGACCACCTGGACCACCTGGACCACCTGGACCACCTGGACCACCTGGACCTGGGCGGCCCAAAGTGGCCAAGCCCCGGGACAATCGAAGCCCTTCTGAAATCAAAGAAGAGTTGTTGAAGTTGGGTATCGACACCAAAGGCGTTGTTGCCACCCGAGATATGCTGCTCAAGCTTCATGAGACCGAAGCCTTTGTTCGGCGCGCAGAGGCCACTAAGAAGCTCTCGCGGTATCCAGAAGAGAAATTGCTTTCGTGCTTTACTGAAGGCTTAGCCCCAGGATCGGAAGCGCTGCTTGGCATTGCTTGGCAACATTTCGCAACAAGCAAGTCATTTCCAACCGTCTTGTTTTTCTATGTATTACTGAAATGACACAATTCAAGGGATTCACATTGGGTCCATAAACAAGAACGGCATAGAATGGCCTCTGATTGTCTTTGATGGCTTCAGGTTTCTCAAGATGCTAGAGGCAGGAGCTGATCCAAACACTGTGTCGACTGGCAGCGGCAGTGGCTTTGCCGTGGGCATGACTCCGTTGCTTGCTGCGTCATCCTGGGGAAAAGTTGATGAAGTTCGTCTTCTAATAGCGGCGGGAGCAGATTTGCATGTGAGGACACCCAACATGCAGCAGACTGCAATGCACCTGGTGGCAGGTGGAAACATCGAATCTTGGGGTGTTGACAAGACAATGGGCCTGCTTCGCTTGCTGGTTCAGAAGGCCGAAAGCGGTTTCGTGGTTTCATGAGGGAACAACTCCGATTCAGAAAGTTTATCAAAGCTCAGGGTCTAGCGGCTAGCCGAACTGATTTAGACCAATTGCATCCAATTGCCAGTTTTTTTTTATTAAAGGGGACAGATTCTGCTTTTTTGTCCAAGAACCCTCACTTTCAGGCGCCTGAACTATTGTCAGAGAAAAATGCACAGGGAAAAACGCCCTTGGATTGTGCCAAATACGAGAAGAAGCGCCAACAAGCTGCATATTTGTCAAGCCTGCCGCGTTGAGAGATGCTGAAAAGAGTCCACACGTTGAGGATGTCAGGTTTTCCACCTGCAGGACGTAACCGCCGTAACCTTCATGCCAAAGACTGCTGTACAAACCATCCTCTCGAAGGAAGGCTGCGCGACCAGCATGTATTCATCGACTCCGCGAACTTTCACCGGAAGACCTGCGATATTACAAGAGGAGTCATTCTCAAATCTTGAAAAGAAGCTTTTCATCGCTTTTGCCGTTCTTAGTTGATCGCGATCTTGCATATGGAAGGCAAAACCATGTGGATGCAATGTTGAAACTGACAACAGCTGGGAACCTGTCAAAACAGTTTCTTTGTATCAAACAGGTATCCGACCTGTTCTCAGAGGGTATCTTGCGCCTTGGCAGGGAAGAGGCTATCCTAAAGCACCAGCAAGATTCCTCTGTCTTCGTCAAATCAGCAGAGTGAATTTCAAGTTTTTGCCAGACTGCTTTTGATTTTCGCTACCAGGTACGCAGCACTTGGCGAGTGTTTTTTCTGCCAGGCCGAACCAATTCTGCTGAGCGGTGAAGCCAAGCCATGCTGGTCGATAACGAAAAAGCGGACAAGCAAACAACTTGATTGTACGGTGTTCTTTGCAAGACGCCCGCGAGGCTTCTGCTGCAAGAGAGAGCCCGAATCACGCCTGCAAGCACTGTTTGTGCTTCGGCAGCAAAGCCTCTACGTACAGGTATATATATATATATATACGTATGTATAGGCACTGCGGGTTTTCCTCCGCTTCCAAGTGTGGCTCCAACAAAAGGTAGCCAATGTCCCAAGAGCTTCGTCAAGTGAACGTTCCCATTTCCTGCCCCGAGGAAGTATTTCCGGCATGCCTTTCGTTGCCTTCAGCATTTTGGCAGCAGCAGGCTGTCAGTCTTGTTCGTGCGTTTCTACATTTGCTCACGATCAATATTGTGAACTTTGACATCTGAGGCAAGCGGGGCAGGCAGATAGCATACAATTTGCAGATGCCTTGAAGGACTATGGCAAGGTGGGATCGGGCGCCTCCATGAAGCCTCTATCTATCTAATCTAGTCTAGTCTAATCTAATCGAATCTAATCTAAATCTAAATCTAAATCCAAATCCAAATCAAAGCAAAATACATATAGTATATTATATATATACACATACATACACATATATGTATATACATATATGTATATATATATATATAAGATATTGCTTGACTATTTGAGTTTCATATCCAGTAGAAAGCGGATATCTTCTGTCTTCAAATGATTGGTGTTTCACTTTGCAAAAGCGAGAGGACACTTTGAGAACATTCGTTCTCCTGATGGGGTGTCATGCTTCAGGTCTTAATTGTCTTACTTGCTGTATTGGTTGCCCTTGGCTGCCCATGCAGGTTCTGAAGTGCGGGGTTCTTGCAGAAAGCAATGCTGCGGCTGGCCAGCTGGCCTCGATTTGACCAGTTGTGCTGTCTCGAAAAAGCATAACGTCACAATTTATAATAGTCATAGTTCAGAATTTCAGAATGTTTCAGATCCAGAGACGCTTTACCAACCAGGATGCGGCACGAAGATGCTTCTGCCAGGTGAACGTGCCTTGCGAAGAGCGCTTCATACGCATCGCCGGCTTCTGGGGAGTCATCATCTCAATGTCTAAGTGCTTGTGAAATCAGCCTCAAGCAAAGATGACAAGTCTTTGCAGAACAGAATAGGTTTGCAGGATTTTGAAGGACATTGTCGGCACAACTTTTTGTGCTCTTGGCTTCTGAGGGACACAGAGATTCTGATTACTTGTGTGTTGAGGTGACCATCCATGCACCCGTCACTTGGAAGCTTGATCCGTGAGACAACTGGTGTCGGTGATATACTGAAATGATCTGAAATGTACTGAAATTTGCATTTTCACGAGACTGTTTGCCAAAATTCCCCAGGCTAATGCTTTTCCATGCTTTTCCATGCTTTTCACGCATGACCTAGACCTGTTTGATCCTATTTGTTTACATTTGACGTGCAAGAGACGGAGTTTCAAACATTTTTTCATGAGCATCGCTCCAGGCAACGTGTGTCGGCTGCTTGATGGTTCCGATGACACCGACAGTGCTTCAGACTGGCAAGTGCCTACCGCTGTGGAGGTGACATTTATGAAACCGGGATTTTGAAGAATGCACATGTATCTATATACATATATACATACAATTACATACATATAATCGTTATATATATATACACATAATTATATACATATACAGATACATATGGTTATATGTTGCATATCATTGTATGTATGTATGTATGTATGTATGTATGTATGTATGTATGTATGTATGTATGTATGTATGTATGTATATATATACATAATTATATATATACACACATACCTAATTATATATACACACGTGTATATATATATATACGTATATATTTATATACACATAATTATATATACATATATAGTTTTATATAAACATGTAATTATGTATACATAATTATACAAAAAATAAAATGATATATATATACACACATAGCTATATATATATATACATATATCCATATATATATATACATATATATATACATATATATATACATAATTGTATATATATATATATATACATAATTGTATATATATACACATAGTATTATATACACATATAACTATATATATAATTGCCTATATATAATACATATAATACATATAATACATATAATTATATATACATATACTACATAAAATACATATAATTATATATAAAATACATATAATTACATATTTAATACATATAATTATATATATAATACTTATTATATAATACATTTGATTGTATATATATATACATAACTATATATACATGGAACTATATATATGTATACATATGATATATATATATATATATATATATATGTACATAATTATATATATATACGTACATAATTATATATATACACATATAGTTATGTGTACATATATGCATACATTTATACATTTATACATTTATACAAACATGCAGACAGACAGAGAGACAGAGAGACAGAGAGACAGAGAGACAGAGAGACAGAGAGACAGAGAGACAGAGAGACAGAGAGACAGAGAGACAGAGAGACAGAGAGACAGAGAGACAGAGAGACAGAGAGACAGAGAGACAGACACATATACATATACATACACATATACATATACATACACATACACATACACATACACACACATGCATGCATGCATGCATAGATGCATAGATACATAGATACATAGATACATAGATACATAGATACATAGATACATAGATACATAGATACATAGATACATAGATACATAGATACATAGATACATAGATACATAGATACATAGATACATAGATACATAGATACATAGATACATAGATACATAGATACATAGATACATAGATACATAGATACATAGATACATAGATACATAGATACATAGATACATAGATACATAGATACATAGATACATAGATACATAGATGCATAGATGCATAGATGCATAGATGCATAGATGCATAGATGCATAGATGCATAGATACATAGATACATAGATACATAGATACATAGATACATAGATACATAGATACATACATACATACATACATACATACACACACGCACATATACATATACATATACATATATACATACATATAATTATATATATACACATACATATTATGTAGTCAGGGATGGACATCAGAGCCATACCTATATGTATTTTACTGCAAGTGTGTGTAAATATATTTGTATATGTATATATATATATGTGTGTTTTCCTCGGGCCTCTGTGTATTTGCCTGAAAGTCCAGGGATGTGCTTGAAACTTGCTTCTTCGGTCAAGCAGGCAAAATATTGCAGCACTGGAGCCAGAGATATGAAGAAATCAAATGCGTAGAAAGTTAGTGCAATTGAGATCAGTTGGGATAGATGGCGGCATCGCGGGTTTTATTTCTCCATGGCTGTACCAGGAGGAAACTTGAGGAAGCTGAGCAAGGCCTGACGGCGTAGAGAAGCAGCAGGAGGCAAGCCATGCTACTAAATCACAGAAGTCACTAAGCAAAAACATCAGACTCATATGAACTGATTAATTATCAATTTCATTCACATTCATTAAATCAAACATGTTCCAATGGTTCTTCCACTTCAATAAATCCTTGATTATTTATTGGTGTTCACTATTATTGCCACAGCAAGTAGTGTGCGCTGCCTCTATAGGTTGACTTTTACGGTCGTTTGGCCCAGTGGAAGATCCATGCGTTTCACAGGGCGGGGGAGGGCCCTGGTGTTTGAAGCGGTGGAATCGACAATCACTTTCAATTCACTGATACTTTGTTTCACTGCTCGGGCAAAGAATTGTTGGCTGAAAACGCCTAAGCAGGTTTCCCCTACTGCCATGCATGTGCTGAGAGGCCATTTGACGGTTTGCATTGCTTGTAGCACAGCCTCCTGCCTGACTGATTGACTGATCTTGAATGGTAGATTTACGACTGAACTTTTTTTGCAAGGAAATGATGTGCACAAATGCTGCTTTGGCAAGCCGGAGGACCACTATTCGTTCCTATCTAAAAACATGAAAGAACATCAAGAGTTCTTTGACTGGTGGGAGCAAGTGAACAAAAAGGCGCGCTTCCTGTCCAGTGATGTGCTTGTTTTGTTTCAACCATTCTGTCCAGAGTTCTTGACAATCTGAAACTTTGCATTTGTTTTTTCTCCGACTATTCGCTGCCAAGGTTCCCAGCACACGCCCAGAGAGGGACACTTGCACAAGCAATTCCAGAGGCTTGCTTTGGAATCTGCTGCGAGCAGAAAAGAGTCGGGATGCTGCCCATGGGCCCATTACAAGTTTCTTTCGGGCGAGCACTCGCTTGTGCACTGGATTTCCCTCACTTGTACACTGGATTTGCTTTGGGGTTGGAAATGAAGTAATACAGATGAATATTGTATGGCAAGTGCGCTACTTTGTATGTAAGGAAGGAGTGGGAGTGAAAGCAGGGGATCGTCTCTGACCTGCACGGCGCCGCTTGCAGAAAACGGCACGCCTTGCATTGTGTCTTGCTGCCCTGGTTGCATGTGGCAGGCGCGATGCTTTCTTCTTCGTAGATTACTTTTGTATGGCGTGCGCAGTACTTTCTGCATACTGAAGGGATGCAACGGACTGCCTGCGCTGACGCCTGCTGCTTGATGCCTTTTGCGTGGCAGGTGTGGTGCGTCCAAGTACATCTTGCTACTTTGTCCACTTCCCCTCTTCCCCCCACCCCCCACCCTAAACCCTAAACGGTGGTGATAGTTGTCAGAAGTCCAAAGGAGCGTGTCCAAGTACATCTTGGTCCTATGTCTAAAGCTAAAAGGTAGGGATAGGTGTCAAAAGTCAGTAGTAGAGTTCAGAGCGTGTCGAAGAACATCTTTGTCCCATGTCTACTTCCCTCCCACCCTCAAGCTATAGAGGTGGCTGATTGCTTGCTGTGTCAGTGCGCAAGTGAGTGAAATTTATTGCACTCAGTGTGCAAGTGAGTGAAAGTGGGCAAGTGAGTGAAATTTCCTGTGCGCAAGTGCGTGCCCGGCCTTTCCTGACGCATAGAACCCAGCCTGAAGGTGTCAGACGTCACATTCCTCATACCAACTAGATAGACATTTGATCTTTGCCTGTGGCTCATGTGTACGAAATCTTATGGTCCATGGACATGAATCCAAGAGCAAGCAACTGCAGAGGGTTTGGGAGGAAAAGAGCACATTCAGTGGACACTGAGCCGTGCAAGCTGTGCATAATGAAATAGATTTGAAACAGATTTCATACGGATTGCATCCGTCAGGAATGTTCACAGCAGAGTTGAAGAGCCAAGGGAAAAACATGAAAGAATTGTGTGAATCGGTTGACCTGCAAATGGCCGCCGCATCGTTTTGCGATGGACATGGCGTGAGTGCTTCCGAAATCTATGTGGAGTGTAGGTTTCAATGTGTCAAGAGAAGTGCTGCTGGCCATCCGGCAGTCAAACAATCAGCGCGTAGAGCATTTGATAGAGGGCCTGGTGAATGCTTTGCGCCATCATCGACAGGCCCCGGAAGCAACACATGTATGTCTTGAATGGTTGTGCCGTGCTTGCTGTGCGCTTCTGATTAGATTCGGTCAAGCATGTTAGTTTCTGTGGGAAAAACTCACCAGACAAGTGGTGACTTGCCTTGGATTGCGTCATTGGATTGCGTCAGTCAGACTCATCCGGCAGCCCGCGCCAGTCCCTAAGCCAAGACATTGGTACTCCATTGTGGGACTTCGCCTGTGCTGTCCAGCGGCTTTCCAGCTTTCCTTTGGGAGCCCAGAAAGACGCATTTTGGGACGAAGTGGTGCATGCTTCTTGGCAAATTACACGTGTGTTGCGGTCGCTTGTATTCAGAAGCATATGCATTTGACTTGACTTCCAAGGTATTGAAATTCAAAACAGCTGAGCTACAATCAAGCCTCTCGACTGTCATTTAAGAGAGGTAAATAAAATGGCACACAAGCCAGTCGCATATGACTTCACAGACGCAGTTTAGACAAGGCAGGGCAGTATGTGCAACGCTTTCTCTGACTGATGCATTGTGTTTTTGCACAGTGTGACTCCAGCTCGACGAGCGAAGATGGAATTTGATCCTGCTAAACAACTTTGAATATCTTTGAACAATTAATGATTAATCAAGGAGTTTTCCCATGATTTCCCCTTGCATTTATATCATTTATGAATTTTTGAGCCCAGGAGAGCTGGCACTTTTCTGCAATGCATTGGCTTCCGAGCCAGCACACTGTGCAACAGTGGCGCCAGATCTGTTGCATAGGGCTGTTGAACTCAGACAGGCGCCAGAGCCACTGACGGAGACCGCAGCGTATGGTATTTGTGGATATTTGATGATATTTGTGGCAGATTGCTGCAGTTTGCTGCCGGAAATCGATGAACTTTTTGCGTCGCTATGTATGGTAGATTTCCCATAGATTTCCCATAGTCAAATTAGTCAAGCCTTGTTGCTTCCTTTTTGAGGCAGCCGATTGTAAATATCCAAATCTGTAAAGTCCGCAAGAGTTTTTCCATGGCATGCGATTCGCAGCACTCGCAGGAGATGACTGCGCAAGATCTGCAAATGATTGTTCACGGATTGTCGAGGGCAATGGCTTCCTCAGAAACATTGAGTCTCTGCGCTCACGATGTCAAGTCTCTGGCAAACCTCGTGCTGGAGGCACTGAGAAGATGGGTAGACTCAGCAGTTGGACTGTCTACTGTAGACTAAGCTTTATACGACTTGTGGTCAGATGTTCGAGAACATGAATTTCACAGAACCCAAAAAAGATCTCGAGTGCAGAATTCAGAGGGTGTGTTAGTATGAGTGTTCTGAAGTTTGCTGGTGTCTTGTGTATTGATCAGGACTCCATGGTAGGATTTGAATTGACTTCGCAAGTCCCATTCCCTCAGTGACAACATACTCTGTACATCTCTATTCTTGTGTGTGTGTGTTCCCCAGAAGTTGCTGTGTATCTTCTTGCATTGCAGACATTGCTTGGCTTAATGCCACGCACAACAATGGAAGAGTTGCCTTTGTTCGTTGATGATCCATCCATTTTTTGCAAAACTCATTGCTACCTCGTTCTGATTCGACCTTGCGCTGGTTTCATCATCCGAACTGCTTTGTTCCAAAGATAAGTAAACCAGTAAACACCCAACTTTGGGGTATTTCATTCGGTGCCGCATTTGTGCACTTTTGTTTCACTGCAGGATGGATTTGAACTTGAACAAAACCGGCCATTGCAAGCTGCACAGATTCTGGACAGCTTCGCCAGGCACCCTAAAGTCCGCAAAGATTTGACAGAGGGACATTCTGATTTGATAAAATAGCGGGCATCAAAGCTCATGCGGCAAAGGCTTCGACATGACAATGATGCCGTTCTGTCAAAGTGCATCTTTGACTATGCTCAGGAGCTTCAAGCTTTGTGAAAGACATGGGTGGGGTTGTATAAGTCTTCGTTCATGATCAACAGCCGCGGGGCAATTTCTTTTTTTCAAAAGAATCCTTACTATCCAATTACTATCCTTGCTGGTTTGTATTGGTTTGTTATGTTTTCCTATTTTTCCTTGCCAGGAGACACTGCCCAGGTGGGATGCATCTGCACTGACTCAGCTGTGTGCTGGGTTGGCTGCGTCTCGCCGAGCAGCGAGACAACCTTTGGAAAGTCTGGAAGTAAAGGGCGTGAATGGCTGGGGACGACTTGTGCATCGCTGTGTGGAGGCCATGTCCAGCATTTTCCAGCTGTCACCATAGGCAGATGAGTGCATATGAGTGCATGGCACAGGAACCCTACAGGAACTCTTGAGTTTCTATTTTCTGCAAAGAATTTCTACATTTTCCTACCTGTGTGCCATCTTTGAAGGTGCTGCCCAAAGCAGAACCATGGCAACTGGCTGCGCTTGCACGCTCCCTGGGAAAAGTTGGAGCACCCAAGGTCGAATTGGCGCACTTCTATGATGCCTTGGAGGACTGGGCCACATGCAGAGCCTGGTGCTTCATGCCATTCAGTGTCAATTCAAAACAAGCAAAGGATCAACGACAAATAACATAGTGACATAGTGGCAACTGGACTGACTCTATCAGCGGTCCATTTTTGAACAAGAACATGTAGGAACGCTTGTGCAACTCGCCGCGCCTGTGCGAACTTCTTTCTACCAAAAATCTTGCAGTGCTGAGCAATGCTCTAGCACGGCAGCGTTGCCCCTTGTGGCCTGAACGTGGTGAAGAGCCTTTGACGTCTTGGCAGCTGGAGGTTAGGTCATGCAGTCATGCAGCAACTCTGCTACAGCAGACCATGGATCCATGTTTATCGCAAGTCTAGAGAAACTCCACGTTGTATAGTGCTTCAGCAGTGTAAACAGATTCCTTGACACTTTCAGTTTGCAAACATGCTGGAATCAGTTGGAATCATTGAGTGGCAGGAGTACGTCGGTCGCAGAGTGCAAGACTTTGATCCTCCATCGCTTTGCATTGTCCTCAATGCTGCCATGAGACTTCGCGCCTTGGACTGGATGTCTGCATGTACCCGCAGATAGCTGTGTTGACATCCCCTAAGGACGCGGCGGGCAGGCACTTTTCGAACTCCTTGTTGAGCCATTGCGCTTGCAAGAACTTGAGGCAGAACAGGCTGGACAGAGTTCCGTCGTACGATGTTTCCAGGCTTTCATTAGAAGAAACAGCAACAAGGTTCATTGCAGTTCATCACAGAGCTTTTACTTGAGGCTTACAGTATTGGTTGATGGGACAGGATAGCAAATTTCACGACCTGAAGATTCGAAGTAACAGCATGGGCGGGAGTGGACAGGGGTAGTGTGGAGGTCTCGTGTAGAAACGTGTTTTCGTACGTTTTCGTCGCACCCTAAATGGTGCCCGTCACTAGCCACACAGCCAAAGGCAATCTCCAGCTTGATGATGTGCCTATTTTGGTGTGCAGATATATAATGCTTGAAGTTGATGCTGGCAATGTTAAGTCAAGGACTGTGAGCACTCGGATGCCGAACAGGGACCAAGACCGCACACCGGAAAACCTCCAAGGATTTGGTCCAACAGATATTCTTTGAATTCAACATACATAGATATTCTATCATATGCTGATATTCTATGATATTCTACGAGTGGGGGCAGAGATTGTTGAGAGACACCTCTGAGAGTGGGGGCGGGCTCAATGCTGTTTGAAGTGTTGGATTGTCGGACGTCAACGTGCACAAATTGGAACCGGTTTAGTTGCTGAGACTTCAATAGACTCTTGCAAAAAGCGTTAGTCTGTCATGAAGTGATGGCCTGCAGGCCCCAAATCTTACTGTACCTCTCGGAACACATCGCTTCAATTCAGCACTCTCAGAAAATACAGTCCGCGAGATACGCTAATACATGCTAATACTTGCGACTGGTCTAATATGCAAAAAAGCGTCTGAGGCAAAGTTGGCCTTAGTCGTCTCCAGCTATCCAAGATCTACTGATATACTTCGCATTGCTCTTCCTGTCAATGATACACTGCGTGACCGTGATTCGCCAGGTGGCACTTCTGTTCAGCGCCGCTGCTGCAGCTGGACCTTTTATTGGTTTGAGTCCATCTTTGCAGATGTCGTTTGGCTTTCAAGATGCTGAAAGTTGTGTGTCTTCTGAGTACTCTTGCAAACTAATTATTGACCTCCGCGGTTTCATGTGCAAGAATCTTGACAGGATTCTCGGAAGATGCATGGTACAACTTCGAAAGAGAACAACATCACTCAAACGATTGACAAGGTTTGATGTTTGTTAGTCCCATTGTATTGGGTTTGTTGCCCAGATAGTTCCTGGTTGAAAAAGAACAGACCGCTTGAACGCTTGGCAGATTCTTTTTCCTGTCTTTTCAGGTTGCGGAAGCTCATGCCTCGATGCCGGTCCTTGGCTTCTTCATTTCTGCCCTGGCAGCGTGGTTGAGACATAGAAGCAGCGATAGATACCACATCAAAACCGTTACAACACCAAACTCTTGTACACGTATTTGTTACTATTTGTTGAATTGCTTTTTCCTTTTCCCGAGCTGAACTGCAGCACTGAGTTGAAGGCAACTGGCCTATATCGCACAATCCCTGGAGCTTTTGGGTCAGCTTCGTCGGAGTGATAGTGGGCCGATGCTTTGGCAAGCCATGTCAGCAGCTGAGACTGTGGAAGAGCTTTGCCAGCGAGCAGAGGAGGCCCTGCCGTGCGTTTGCTGTGCATTTTTTATCATTTTTTCTGATAGGTCTGAGAGTTGCTTCAGATTTCCTTTCCATGTTTATCCATAGTTTGTACATTTTTTTTTACCTACTCCATGTTACTCTTGGAACTGGACAACTTCTTGAACACTGAAGCGCTTTTACTCGAGGTAGTGACAAGCAGGGAAAAGCAACAACACATCATCAAGCAGTTGCGTGAGAGTGTCGAGCAGCACAGCCGAAGGCGGCCTTTTTCGAGCAGTGCACTTTGCAGTGTGAAAAATGGCGTGCATCGGAGATGCATCGGAGATGTTGTGACTGCAACGCGGTTCGACAGAGTTGAGCTAAGCTGGGACTCTATGGAAGAACACATGCATAGGCTCAATATGACAACAATCATGTCTCCAGGTCTTATTATCGCCAACCTCCCACTGTGCCAATACCAAAAGCACAATCTTCCAAACTCTTGCACTTTCTATTCAGCAACAAGAACGCAGTTAGGAGCACAGTGTTTTGCGTTTTACAGATAAGGCTATTATCCGGCCACCCGTTGCCACCGTTGCCACCGTTGCCATCCGCTCTTGCAGCAGATCAAGGCAGGAGCTGTGAGTCATTTTCCAAGCGTAATGTACAGACGCAGCAGCTCGTTCTTCTTCACATCCTTGGTGTGGAAGCAGAATCGCTGAAGTTTACGACGGAGTGGCGTTGAACTCTGAAGTTTGAGCCGGTTGCAAGTGCGACAAGTTTATTGCCCTTTTGGATCAGCTTTCCTCGCTTCACAATTTCCAAGCGCAAAAGAATGACATGTGTCAGCTGTGTCAGATTTGGGGCCCATTTGCGCCCACAAAACCGTTTCAGAAACTTCTTGCAAGAGCGGGAACTATGCCAATGATTGCGGAATAAATATAGCCAAATAGTGTCAAAGAAACAGGGTGAAGGGTCCCCGACTTTAAAGTGTCTCAAAAATCCCGATATATCCCGAAATGGATTCAGATATATTCAGATGAATTTCCGATGAATTCAGGCATGCCGACAGCTGAGCCTGCTGCCTTCGATGCAGTGTCCATGTCGCCAGATGTGTCGATGTCTCAGACTTCAGCGGCGCCAAGTCAATGGCCAGGGTCCCCCAAACACATCATTGCAATCTATGGTCGTTAAATCCCTTTAATATGTTTAAATATCTCTTATAAAGTAATATCTTTTAATATATTTTAGTATCTTTTAATACCAGTAAGTTTAGATATCTATTTTGATATGTTTCAATTATATTTTAATATACTTTAACTTTAATATCTTTTATATCTGTGTGAATGGAAGTCATGACTCATGTGTACCGAACTTAACGTGTATGTATGGCAGAAAAGTGAGGTACAGTGACTGAAAGGGAATTTGCTGACACATGGGTCCTGCCCCGCAGTTCAGGCCCAGAGTTGGAGCACAGGGCGGAAATCCTGAGGACTACTTCGCTTGTGCTGTCGTTGTAGCTGTTATCAGATGTGATACCTGTATGGCCACTATGGCCACTATGGCCACCCCTGTACGCGATTGGCCTCTTCAAAAAGCTCTTTGGAAAGCATGCAGTAAACCTCCATCTGTCACCCAGCGTTTTCCGCTGGCTTCTAGTGACTAGATGTGACTAGTGGCAATTTGAGCTGCAGGCCTCGCAGAACAGGCTGGTACAGATGTTGCAGCTGCGGCCTCACATGAAGAGATCTTTTGTGCACTTTGTCCGACTTTGTCCTGCTGCCCTGTTCACAACTGCATTGCACTTATAAAGAACACCAACTCAGTCAGTGGCTATGATGGGTATGCAACTCAGGACTGCAGCCCATCCTGCGACCTGTGTATTTCACGCGGCCTTCAAAATAGCTCTAATCTCGGTGATCAATGCTGAGCAGTGATGCATTCTGATGCATTCGGATGCATTCTGATGCATTCGGATGCATTCGGATGCATTCTGATGCATGTGAAGCTTCAGAGAACGAATGTCACAAGTTTGGCATCAGGTTGTGCTCCTCATATACATCTATGGACGGTACATTCACAGTGCGTATGCATGGCTCTTAAAATGCTGCGCAGACCGAAACAGCCTTGTTAGACTGCCATCATGTCCACAAAGAGGTGCTTGCTGCAGACATATGCTTTCTGCAAAGATGTGTTCAATGCAGTAGAAATCCATGAAAAAACAACGTTGTGAGTTTATTTTGGGACACTCCGTTTGGTGCTTGGCCAAGCTTCATTACTTTTATATACTTTTATTACTTTGTTTCCTGAAATGCCGAAGGTCTCAACCTTCATCCTTTGCACCATCTTTGCTGCCTTGGATTTCTGGACGGCACTCTCCTTGGGGTGTGAGGTGAAAGGTAGAAAGTGTTTCAAGTCTGCAGGATAGCTATGATAGCTATAGCTTTTGCAGAAAGTCACTTATCGCATCTTATCACAATAGTCAGCTCTGTGTCAGCTTTGTGTCTGCCGTCGAGGTGAAAA